ACGCACCCTGAACTCGTGCTGGGGCCTCTCCTGCGTCACCCTGCGCTCGTGGCTGCGGCGGCAGCTCCTCTTCCAGACCCCGGGGAAGGAAGGGCGGCTTTAGACTCCCATCGCGAACTCCCTTCCTCAGGGCTCTATTTCCCTTCGGGAGTTCAGCTGAGCTGCGTAAAACAGATGGGAATAACATTTCTGTGCGTCTCCTCTGCCAGCGGGCCTTGCTCAGAGATCACATCATTGCTTTGCTCAGTTGTGGAGGAGTTTTAAGCCTTCCTCGGTCCTCACAGGAGAGCTCCCCGATGTTTTGGGTCGCAGCTCCTCGGCCAGGGTTATCCCCGGGTGGATTTGGGGGGGGGTCTGTGTTGTTGCTGAGCCCTCCCTCGCGTGCTGCAGCAAAGCCACTGGGTTGAGCGCCAGAAACGGGGTCACCAAATAGCTGAAATTCCTCTACAGCTTTGTGTTTGGGATCTGGATCCCTCCTGTTTGCCTCCACGTTCCCCGCGTACAGCTGGTTTGCCTCTCCTCACCTCCTCTTCAGCTGGATCCGTTTATCTCCTGGACTAAACTTTATATCGCTTCTCCCCAGCGCCGTATCCCAGAAATGCCCCCGTTTCAGCGAGATAAAGTCATCCCGTCTTATAGCCCACGTGACGGTTTACAAAGAGCTTTGGGATGCCTCCGCGCGAAAGGCGCTATGTAAATTTAAATGGCTTTTAGGATTAATAATAAATGAAAGTCTGCTCTCAGCAGTGCGGCTGCGGGCAGGGAGAGCTGTATCTTGATCATCACCAGCAGGAGAACGAGCAGAACCCGCGTCTGCGGGGTATTAATTCAGAGAACGGGTCATAAACTTGACTTCCCCCTTTCCTCCCATACGGGATTGAACCGGGCAATGCAAGAGACTTGTGAAGTGAGCTAATTAGGTGCGAAATGGAAATGAAGCCGCTCTGATCGTGTGGTAAGGCGTGCTGAGGGTCTAGTACAAATAAGAAGAGAACAGCCCTCGCGTTGCGCTCTGCAGCGTTTCATTCCCGCAGTGAATCCGAGGGCACCGCTCCTGCGAATAGCGCTTTTGCAGCGCGGAGCGCGGTCCGGGTGGATCAAGCGCGAGCAGCACCGTGCTGCCGCGTGGCACACGGAGGGTTTCTCGTCTGACGCTCCTCGTTTCGTTGTGTCCTACCAATTTTTATTTATTTATTTATTTTTATTTTTCATAAACCCACATTATAAATCTTCAGTGCCCTCCTGAGCTGGCACGTTAAGCTGGGTGTAATCTGAATTGTGGAAGGAATAAAACCAAATGGGTTTTGCAGGTGAGGGTGGCCGAGGGGGCTCTCGGCTCCGAGCCGAGGCTCGGGAGGAGGATGCCTTGCTCCGCGTTCCTGGGTGTTTTCGTGCACGCCGCGGTTTCTCTGCGGGCGGACAGCCTGCAGCGGGGAGTGTAGCCAGGAGCACCGCAGAGATCCGTTGGTGACCCCCCAGCAGCTCTTGATTTGTGTCCCTGCTCCCCCTCGGCGAGGCTCGGGGTTGGCAATTCGACTTGGGGAAGGTGGAGGTGGGTTTTTGCACCACCAGCAGCAGGTAGATCCGCTGTAGGGTCAGGAGACGGCTTTCCTTGTGTGGGTGGACCCCACCAAACGGTGTTAGATGTGCAAGACCTTTCACTATCGGCCGTTTGGTGCTGCTCTGTCCTGCCGTGTCGGGTACGCCGGCCCGGGGGACGCAACCAGAGACACGAACCCTCCTTTTCAGGGCTGCGATTCGGTTCTTTCGCCACGTTTAGTCTAGAGAAAAGAAGATTGAAGGGGGATCTTATTAATACTTACAAATACTTAAAGGGAGGGTGCCGGGGGATGGGAGCAGTCTTTTTTCAGTGGTGCCCAGTGATAGGACGAGGGGTAATGGGCATAAACTTGACCATAGGAAGTTCCATCTGAACATGAGGAGGAACTTCTTTACTTTGAGGGTAGTGGAGCAGTGGCAGAGGCTGCCCAGAGAGGTGGGGGAGTCTCCCCCTCTGGAGCCATCCCAAACCCGCCTGGACGCCGTCCTGTGCCACTGCTGGAGGTGCCCCTGCTCTGGCGGGGGGTTGGACTGGATGATCTCCAGAGGTCCCTTCCAACCCTGACCAGTCTGGGATTCTGTCTGTTTGCCACCTGTGGCTGTGAGGACCCAGAGCACTCAATGAGCCCATGGCCGTGGGGACCTGCGTGTCCGGCATTCTGTCTCCTCAAATTCCAGCCCTCGGAGAGAGAGACGAGCCCTTGCAGTGTCCTGGGGTGGCTTAACAAAATATACCTTGTTGGGGATCCGCACGTAGCAGGAAAGAGCTGACGTGTTGGTCTTCCCGGGGGTTGTACATCTGATTAGTTTGGGCTATAATTAAGCGTTTTCGCCAGACTTTTTCCTGGGAGCCGTGCTAACCATACGAATTTGCTCAATCGCTTCTGTCGAGGTGGACTTCCCTGCCTCCGCGTGGGCAGCGGAGTCGCCGGGATTAGTGACGGAGCCGTGTGTGGTTTGTGTCTTCCCTTTTCTCCCCCCCGCCAGCTTTGGGACCATTTGGACCACACAATGTTCTTTCCCGACTTCAGACCCTTTCTGAGTAGCAGCTCGCTGGATCAAGACAGCAGGGACAACGAGAGGGGCCACCAAGCCCACGCCGACCTCTGGGGACCAAGCCGACCTCCGCGGTTGCCCATGACGCGGAGGTACAGATCCCGGGGCAGCTCGCGTCCCGACAGGTCTCCTGCTATCGAAGGGTAAGTGTCTAAATTACCCCCTGGAAGTGTTTCCCTCCCTCACCGGTGGAAAAATGGGGGATCTTGGGGGAGAAAACCTGATGAAATGGCGTCCTGGCACTTAGGGTAGACCCAGAAAAAGCAAATTTGCGCATCAGACGCTCTGTCCTTTGTCCCCCTCGGCACGAATCGAGGCTGCGTGGTGGGAAAGGTGGGTTTTGCCTGTACCGGTGCCAACCCTCACCGCAGGGAAACGAGTCAGTGCTCGGGGAAACTCAGTCATTTCCTCTCCCAGCCCTCCCACACGCCGATGAGTTAGCATCCCTTCTTCCTTCGAGCGGTGCCTCTGTCTCGGGGCTCGCCCTTCTGCGCAGGGATTTACCCAGGCCTGAGTCTGGCAGCGACGTGGCTGCCATCGATCAGAGCAGTATTTCGTGTTTTGCTGCCCGTTCTTGCTAAACCGTTGTTGCTGCCGCCGTGTATTTGTTTGCCTAACTTGTTCTTTTTTTTTTTTTTTCTTCTCTCTTTCGATTCCTCCCTCTTTAGAATAATACAGCAGATCTTTGCAGGGTTTTTTGCAAACTCAGCGATTCCCGGCTCACAACACCCTTTCTCATGGTGAGTAGCGAGTGTGGTTTAGACCACGGCTTTGGTTGTGGCTGCCCACGCCAGTGAACAGCCGTGGTCTGGTGCCCGAGAGCTCCGTCTCCCCCAGTGTGGCTTCTCTGGGAGGATCGTTTAAACCTCGGGGCTGCTTTAGGGTGGGTGAAACGGCTTCCTTGCCTCTCTGCTCCCGTCTGCAGGAGTGGGATGCTGCACTCGAATCCCGGGGACTACGCGTGGGGACAGAGCGGCCTCGATGCTATTGTCACCCAGGTAAGACCCGCGTGTGTCCCTGAGTGGAGAAAGTCCCAGGCAGGTTGGCCCCGGCCCGTGAGTTTTTGTGCTCCGCTCTGGTCGGTGCCACCGCTGGAGACGAGTCCCGGGTTTCGGATGAGGATTGGAACAGACCCTCGGTGTCTGCCTCGGTGGCTCCTTGTGCGCTGCCTCTTCAGAGAGTCCAGGAGCAGAGGTTGGACCTTATTTCTGTGGAAATACAGTATCTTAGTCCACCTCTGTCAACCCACGCGTGGCTTGCAGGTGCCTCGCGACAGGCTCAGCAGAGGCCGAAGGTTAAAATCCCCAGCGCCAGCCCCGGCTCCTTCGCCAAATTCAGCGATCCGCAGCCATGAGCTGTTTTTTCCCCCGCTGTGGTTTGTAGAGGGCTGAGCTGAGTCCGCTCCCGTTCCCTGGAAGCGTCGTCTGGCTCCTTTGAGGATCGGGGGTGTCCAGCCTCCATCCACAAACAGTCTCTTACGGGGCGTTGGCACCGCTGCCATGGGAAGAGCAGACGAAAGCTTTGCCGAGAGCTAATTTGGCTGCTGTTGTCGTGCTGACACCTCCCGAAAACGCCTGGCGAAGCCATCTGCTGCCCTTCATGAGTAGCCCCCGGCTTCCCGGCCTGCGTCGCACGCCCGTCTCACCCGCCTTACTCACCGCTTCCCAAAATGAGCCCACGGCCCACGCGGCCGCTCGGAGACGGCACCTTCCTCCCACCCCCCACACCCGGCGGAGCGGAGCGAGCCCCGGCAAGCGCGGTGTGATGAAGTTGGTGTCGCAGTTCGGATTTGGGCTGGGCTCCTGGCTGGCTCTGGAGCAGCAGCCCAGCCCATTCCGGCGTTTCGTGTCATCCCAGGCGTCTTAACGTGGCCTTCAGAGTTAGGTGAGGCTCCTACGAATGCTCTGCGCTCTCCCTGGCCCTGCTTGAACCCGTTTGAGCTGATTGCCGGGTGAACCTAGGTCTGAACAGTATAAAATTCCTATGAGTCATGAAACTGTAACACTGGGGAAAAAGGTGCTGTCAGCACCATCGCTGCAGCTCGAGCTCAGCCCGTCTGAAACGCCAGAGGCTCCGCGCGGGAGATACGGCCCCACAGGAGCACAGACTCCTTGGGCTCGGTGGCGGTACTCCACTGAAGCTTCTCGTTGTAGCCCTGGGAGGTCGCCCCGTTCCTCCAAACACCCTGGTCAGGTCTCCGGAGAGGCAGAAGGTGCTCCATCTCCCTTGTTACCGCACTACGAGGTTCTTCCTCTTCTCAAAACACCTCCGCCGACTCCCTTTCACTTCAAATTCCTCCAGGAGCGGCTTAGCACCCTCTCCTGTGTCCGTGGCCGTGTCTCCCTTCCCACCCGGGGGCCCTTCAGTCCCCAACTCTTGATGTCAAATACCTGGAGGGCAGCGGGACTAGAAGTGGCATTGCCGAGATGGGAGGCGTGAGAGTACGGTTTGAGCACCGGAGGTGCTCCGTGCGGAGAGGGGAACGGTCACCTGCGCACTGAATATCTAAGCCGGGATGAAACGGCGCCGGCTTGCTCCTGGGCTTGGGCAGTGGGAATGGTTTTGGTCCGGAAGCCGGCGATGTCGGTCGCTTCAGGGGTTTCAGGAGCAGATCGCGGTCCCCCCCCAGGGACAGGCTGGGCTGAGCTGCTCCTACCCGGCTGGCTGGTGGTGGGACGCAGCGCTCTCCGTCCTCCGTGTTTGTACGCCGATGCTCTGCACGGCAAAGCCCTGTCCCTGCTCCTGAGCGCAGCTTGTTTTCTCCTCCGCAGCTCCTGGGGCAGCTGGAAAACACGGGACCGCCTCCGGCCGACAAAGAGAAGATCTCATCTCTCCCGACAGTGACAGTAACTCAGGAACAAGTCGGTAGGTGAAATCATCGCCGGGGTACGATGTCACTCATCTCCTGACGCTTTGGGCTCTCCCGCTCTCTCTTTGCTGTCTCCTCGTGTTTCCCTGGCTGCGGCGGGAGGGCGGGAGGCAGCGCTGCTCCGTCTGCCTCAATTACTGTCCAGACTCGGGCTGGAAACACTCCTCTCTTCCAGCTCAGGCGATCCTGAGCGTTGCTGCTGCCGCTGCTGCCATCTCTGGTGTTCGCTCCTCCGGGGACTCTCAGGTCTCCGCCGGTTGAGGCCATCAGCAAAGACCTTCTTCCTTCTGCAGAGTGTTTGCGCAGTCCCCGAGTGCTCTGTTTTTCAGCCTACCCAACCCCCTGATGGCTTTACCGGCTTCTGTTTGCGCTGGTGTTTGTGGGCTCGTTACAGCCCGGCTTGGCGTGTTGCTTTCTTCCCTTCCAAATTGGCTCGCAAGCGGGGCTGGGAGATGAGGCGCCGAACGGATTCCTGCCCAACCGCTCTGGAAATGTCACGTAAAAGGCGCAGGTTCTCGCGGTGCAGTTGGCAGCGAAGACCCGTGCGTTTCTCGTAGCGTTTATGGTTTTGCGATTAGCTCATCCCGGGGATTTTTCTCCCCGTGTTTGCAGAAGGCTGTCTCCGAAGGATCCCTTTCCCTCCGAGCTACTCTATTACTGGCAACTAAAACGCTCCATTAAAACAAACAGTTTGATTAGAAAAGCTGTTTCCACACCAGATATTTTTATCTGGTGCTTTTTATATACCCGTCTCTCTTCTTCTTGGCCGGCGAGCCCGGAAGCGGCTGAATTGCCACGGCGCGATGCTGGGTCTCGCCTGGTGGGATTGACGGCGCTGGGGCCGCGCAGCCCGGCGGGCGAGAGGCTGAGAGCTCAGGCTCGGCACGACGGAGGAGGGCTCGGTTGGTTTTTGCCGTCTCTCGCGGTCGGTGGCACGCGGAGGGAAGGATGTGCCGTGGCGGCATCCCCCGCCGACCTCGCAAGACTGCTCTGGGCGAGGGCGGTTTGGCAGCGCTCCGCTGAAACACCCCTGATTTGGTTTAGTTTTTTCGTTCCCAGTCGTACGCAGGGGATTTCTCTGATTTCTCGGGGAGCGGGCTCTACGCGAGCGGCCCCTGGCTCGTAGAGCCCGGGGTTGGTGTTCCCGACGAGATAAACCCTCCGGCTTCACCCTCCTCCCTCTGCGCCTCTCTTCCAGATACGGGTTTGGAGTGTCCTGTGTGCAAAGAGGACTACACAGTAGCGGAGCAAGTTCGGCAGTTACCGTGCAATCACTTCTTCCACAGCAACTGCATCGTGCCGTGGTTAGAGCTGGTAGGGGCCCCCCGCCGCCGCACCGGGGACTCTGCGAGACACGGGGGGGCTCTGCGAGACACGGGGGGGCTCTGCGAGACCGCCAAACCTGCTGGGGCGAAACCCTGCGGGGGTAAAGCAGCCGTCCGAGCGGCCTTTCCCTGAAGCTGCCCCGTTTTCTCTTGCAGCACGACACGTGTCCCGTCTGCAGGAAGAGCTTAAAAGGGGAAGATTCGACTCGGCAAACGCAGAACCCCGAGGCCTCGGCGAGTAACAGCTTTAGCAGCGAAAGCCAACTACACGACCGATGGACTTTCTGACGCTCGAGGGCTTCCCCGGGGGGCTCCGGCCGCAGTATCGTTACTACAGATGTACATTGTATTATAATTCAATCGAAAACCAAGAGTAGCAGGAAATATAGGGCAGGGGAGGGAACCCACCCTGTGGTATTACTGCCATGAGTGCTGTCTTTTCCCCGAAACTTTAAAAACTAGCGTCTCCCAGCGAATCGCGTCTCCATCGGAATCGCCTCTTTAGTCCTCAATTCAGCGTCTTTTGAGTGATTTGACTTGATTTGATACTTGTGAAACCTTTACTTCAAACGTGGCCCCCTTTTGAAGGAAGGTGGTGGGGAGGGGGTGAGGTTTGGGGACACCCCGCCTGCGTCCCGAGGTCATTCCCGCTGCCTCCGTGTTGTCCTCACCCCCCCCGGCAAAGGCGGGAGAAGGTCCCCCACTGCGGTGCTCCGTGGGGTAAAGAAGGAGGGGGGGAAAAGGAGGAGAAGATTTTGGACCTCTCTCCTCCGACCCCTTTCCCTGCCCCTCGCACCGGGTGGGTGGAATGGAATCCGGGAGGGTTTTTTTTTGTTTTTTTTTTTCTCCTCCCCCCACCTCTCCGTCTTGAATCCGAGTGACGGTGTCTGTGAAATAGCGGTGTAGGTTTTCTCAAGGCAGAAGCGGAGGTGAAGACGGAGGCGTGGAAGGGGCCGGAGCTCTTCCCGACGGCGTGTTGGCGGAGAGGAGC